CACATCAGGTCTGGAACTGAACCCACACCTGCAGCTTCCAGACAAACAATAGACAGGCATATGAGTTGAACATTTACCTGAGGTAGATACACTCCTTGGAGAGAAAAAGCATGAGAGAAAGTAGGGCTGCTCATGCACAGGGAGACAGCTCAGGGGTCAGGAGGGATGGACACAGGGAAGAGGTAATTATCGGGAGGAAGTGGGAGGGGAGTTGTTGCATTGTGGTAAATTGTAGTCAATGTCATGAGACAAAGTGTATGTGACCTGCTATATGGAAAATGAATTTGCTCTGTAAATTTTCACCCAAATCACAATTAAAAAAAAGAGTTCTTTTACAGCAGATTTTCCCAATGCTATATGTTGCCTGATATCTTGACTGTTGCTTCCATTGCTGTTGATTATGAACCAAGACAACTTCAATCTTTTCTCCATTTATTGTGATTCTGCTTATTGGTCCAGTTGTGGGGATTTTTGTTTCTTTCTATTGAGGTGTAATCTATACTGTAAACTGTAGTCTTCAGTCTTCATCAGTAAGTGCTTCAGGTCATCTTCAATTTCAGCAAGGTAAGTTGTATCATCAGCATATCACAGGTTGTTAATGAGTCTTCCTCCAATCCTGTTGCCACATTCTTCTTCATATAGTCCAGCTTCTCAGATCATTTGTTCAGCATATAGATTGAATGAGTATGGTGAAAGGATATAACCATGACACACTTCCTTGCCTTCTTGATTTTAAACCAAGTAATATCCCCTTACTTTGTATGAATGACAGCCTCCTGTTCTATGTACAGGTCAATGGATCTATTTCCGGATTCTCAATTCTATTCCGTTGGTCTCTGTGTCTATCATTGTACCAATACCAGGCAGTTTTGGCTACTGTGGCTGAATTTTAGGTTTTTAGATGTGGCAGTGTGAGACCTCCTACTTTGTTCTTCTTCTTCAATAGTGCTTTGCTTATCTGAGGCCTCTTTCCTTTCCATATAAAGTTAGTGACTGATTTTTCCATATCCTTAAAGAATGATGATGAGATCTGAATTGGGATTGCATTGAATGTACAGATTGCTTTGGGTAGAACTGACATTTTCACAATGTTCAGTCTTCCTATCCACAAGCATGGTGTATTCTTCCATTTATGTAGATCTCTTATGGTTTCTTGAAGTAGTGTTTTATAATTTTCTTTGTA